GTTTATGAAAATTAATAAAATATAATTATAGAAAAAAAAGAACTATATGAAGCTATTTCATCACATCTCTATGTAGTCTCTCTACACTTCAAAAACAGGCTTTCAGTGAGACATTTTAAAAAGTAAAAACTGTTTACTGACAGTAAAGACAGATCAAAAACAAGAACACTAGCCTTTCAGACATCTTCTGCAGCCCTCATATCATTCACTTGACCCCTTAGGCTTGAATTAATCAACAACATAAAGGACATCAGATTGGCAAATGTTATAAGCCATTGCAATACGATCAAATTGCAGTCGGAGCTAACCAGAAGGTAAATCCTAGCCCTGCTGCTTGCTCAAATTCTATAAACCTAAATTTCCACATCTGAAAGGTCTATCAGAAGGGATGCATGTAAACCACATAGCATTGGGCCTGGCACATACGGAAGCACTCCAGAAAGGTGAACTATAATTCTGAAATGTAGACTCCCATTCTATAGCACATACCTGAGTTATCTTTGGACTAATCACTCTGAAGAAGCTAATGAAAATGCAGATATAGAATTACTTTTTCTCTAATGTCAGGATTATCAGTAATGAATAAGGTAAGAGAAATGTAGAAAAACAAAAGCCTTAGAGAAATTTCAGATTTTTTTTTATTAGTATTTAAAATTTGCATATATATATGGTGGTGGATGATGACAGTAGCAGGGAAAAACTAAGAAGCCTGCACAAACATCAAAGCATGTATTCTCCTCAATTATTCGATTGTCTATAGATATGATGGACTTAATGGAAATACTTGCACAAATTTGTATATGTGTGTGTGTGTATTCATAATTCTCAGTATGACTGACTTAAAGACCAGATTTGTCATCATTTTTTTTCAAATCTGGGATTAAATGTATTTTCTTCCTCAGCCATTAAAAATGTATCCATTGTAAAAGTATTACCTAGGGTTACTGTTCAATTTAGTTGCTGTGCTTTGTGTTGTTGTTAGGTACCACTGAGTTGACTATGGCCCAGAGCAACCCTATCAACAGCAAATCTTTACCCTACCCTCTCCTGTGCCCTCTTCATCATCTCTGATATACTTAAGCCCATTGTTACAGCTTTGTTATCAGGCCTATTGAAAGAGCACAGGCCTCCTTTGGAGGACCAGAATAAAGTCACCCAGCTCCCAGACTGGGTTTTCAGACAACACCCACCCCTGAGGAGGGCACTCTTACACAAGAGCATTGCTGTATGTGGCAGCCATGCAGATAAGCACATAGATCACCACATATTTGAGACATGCCTGTATAACTGTCTGTATAACACACACTCACATATACAGAAACTGAATGCTGTCAAAACTTATCCAAGTAGTTGAAGAAAGATCAAAACTGAAAATCCAAAGTTTCAGAGTGTTCAGGAGGCAAACCAGGCTCCTTTCCCTCTCCATACCTTCAGCTTCCAACTACTGAGATGTGGGATACTGAAGCAGATAGAGACATTGGGTAGTGGGTAGAGCCTCTGTCCCTGCAAGACTCTGAACCCTGGAAAAATTATGATCCCCTCTTCCAGGAAAAAAGGGAGAGAGAAAGGGATACAAGGAGGGCTGCCTGAAACAGTTTCCTAACCTTAAACAAAAAAATAACCCCTGAATTTAGTGGCATTATCCGTAACATGCAGCACTAACCAAAGGTGATTCAAATCCACTCAACTGCTCCAAGGAAGAAAGATAGGCAATCTCCTCCCTCCACAATTTACAGCCTTGGAAACCTGATGGAGCATCAGGTCACTATGAGTCAGAACCAGGTCAACAGCAGGGAGGGAGGGAGGGAGGGACGGAGGGAGGGAGGAGGTTTCAGACACTGTACTCTTCTAAAATCTATCTACATAGGATCAAATTGATCACAGCAACTAAAAAGATGCAGATGGTATATGTTCATGGAGGAGGAACAATCAAGAAAAATAAGGTGAGCAACCTGAAAAATGTCATCAATGTCAATAAGCTGTATATACAGAGAATGGTGTATGTTCTGTTTGTGTATATTTTCAACACAACAAAACAATTATGTGACTCTGAATATATATATATATATGAATGGGTGTGTATACATATGTATGTGTTTGTTTTAAGGAGATATGGAGTGAGGGGAAGGAAAAAACCAAACAGCTGAGCAGCAACACCAAATGCCATAGACACTAATGGAACTATACTCAATCAAGTTTGCCAAAACTATGATTACATGACTATTGCTTTGGACTATATTACAAGCCTTAATCACTTTGGATATTCCCAGGAAAAGAATAAACTAAATGATGCAAGAAGCAGTCTTACAATGTTCACTCTATCACTTCTGCATCCTCTTGACTTTTTCCTTTCCAGTTACCCAATACTTACCCACAAAAGACACAAAATTACTTTTGTTTACTATTGCATATTCATATTTATCTTGCCAAACTCAGCAGTGGCTGCCTTCCTAAAGAGTAAGGGCAAAATAATGTTTTTCACACTTCTGTGCCTGGCCTTTTGGATCTCCATACCACAGAAGCTTCAATAGTGAAGCTGTTATATGAAGCAGAAATTACAGGCTAAACATTGTGCCTCATTCACAAGGAGACAATGTACAAGAATATTGCATGTGAGCTCTGGTGGCACAGTGACAAGAAGCTGTGCTGCAATCCTGAAGGTGTACAGTTTGAATCCACCAGATGCTCTGCTTGAAAGGAGGCACAATCTACTCCTGTGCCTGTCAGATGCAACTTGATGGTATACAAGAAGGAATAAAAAATAAAACACACAAACAGAAAAGAATATTCATTGCAGCACTGTTTGTAACATATTAGGAAGCAATCTGAATCTAAAAGGAGAGCATACAAATTAAGTCTAATATACTTACATGAAGAAATGATCATATATTCATACAATGGAACACCATATAAGAGTTAAACTGAAAAGAGTTTGAGCTACTTGTTTACAGGGATAGATCTCAAATATAATGTTGACTCCACAAAAAGCAAGCAGCAAAAATGATACATAGAAACAAATGATATATGTTGTTGTTAGTGCCCTCCAATAGAATCAATGTAATCTGACTTTCTAGCAGAATTTCGGAGGATATAAGTAACACAGGAGACTGCCTATCTTTCTCCCAAACATATGGTATAAAACCATTCCTATAAGGGTTCTCAACTACCACTCAATAATGTGGGTAAGGAGACTTATTGCTGGCCTTCCAGTGGGTTTCCAAAGCTTTGAATTGCACAGAAGGCCATTTTTCTCCTGAGGAGAAGCTAGTGGATTTAAACCAGGAGAGCTGAGGTCTTTTGGGTTAGCAGCTCAACTTTCTATGTATTACACCACCAGAGCTTAAACACTTAGAAATGCATTCTCTTAGAATTTGCTGTTATGGCAATCCTTGTATTGTTGTTGTTGTTATGTGCCATCGAGTCATTTCCGACTCATAGCGACCCTTGTATACACAGCTAAAAACTTAAGAAATATATATTTTTTTTAAAAACCACAACACAGAAAAACTAATGTTGAAAATAGCAATTATATAAAGTTCTCAAAAATGGCAGAGGAAGTCTGATTTAATAGTGGAGATTACTTAACCACTGATGCCAGATGTGTGTTTGTATCTCCACTCTGTTGCCTACCATGGCACCTGATCTCAGCGCTGTCACCTAAATTCAATACCTGCCTCATAGGAACAAGTGAAGTAATAGTACCTGTAAGTGTTTCACAGAAGGTTGTAGACTTGTTTTTCTACCTCATGAGGTAATAACACAACGTTCTTTTGGGGGGAGGGGGGTAAAGAGCTGAGTCTGCATTTTTTCACCTAGTTCACTATAAGATTAAGATGTCAAAAACACAACAGGAAGGGGTAACTCCCCCCACCTTCCTCTTCGCAGTCCAAGATAGCGCTGCTTTCTATATTTAGCACAGATTGCGCGCGCGCGCGCGCACACACACACACACACACACACACACACACACACACACACACACACGAAACCCTGGCTCTCAATGGCTCCCTTAGGAACTCCTGGTGACCTTGGGATAAATTTCTTTCATTACGACATACACCCTTCTGCAATCCCGGAGGGAAATGAATAACAACTCAACCTTCACAGTCACTAAACTGTAAAAATGACAAGGCGATGTTGCTGGAGGTTTGGAGGGTTGTTTGTTTTTAAAAATGAAGAGGGAAGACTAGCGTGTGCTCTTAGCTCCTGCCCTACAGAGAGGAAAGGAGGAAGAGCTGGGCAAGTAAGTTCTGCCAACTGTTTCCAAACACACGGTCCCTGCCTTTGGATTCAATACAAAGGCGAGCGCCGCGAGGGCCAGGCGCACGCCGCCACCCCGAAGCCAGGGGAGCTGCAGGCTCGGTTCCCAACCGCACAGACTCCCGCGCACCGCCCGCCGCACGCGGGATGCGCTCGGGGACCGCACCGCCCCTCGGACTGGCACTGTGCCTCACCTGTCTTGAAGACCATCTTCTCCTGGTCGTCCGACCCAAAGGTCTTCAGCATGGACACGAAGAGCACCCCGCAGGCGTTCTGGATGCCAAACACCGACCCATTACACCACATGGCTGCCAGCATCACCAGCCAGCCCCAGCCGCCCTCGGGGGGTTCAGGGGGCTCGGGGGGCGCCGCCAGCTCCAGCTCCACCTTCTCGGCAGCCGCCTCCAGGCCGTCCGAGGGTCCTGGGCCGGGCAATGGAGCTGTCTCCGCAGGCTCATGGTACGGTGGCGGAGCCTCGTTGGTCCCCAGCGCGGCAGACTCCTCCTGGGTGGGCACCATGGTCCAAGGTGGCCCCCGAGGAGCTGGGGGAACGCGAGAGGCACGAGTTCCCGACGGGCGCCCGGAGGAGCCGCGGGACCGGTGAGCGGGCGGGCTAGAGAGGCCGAGGTGAGCACGCTGGAGCCCACGGCGGGCGGGCGGGCGGCGCAGAGCGCAGAGACGGGCGCGAGGACACAGTCGAGGCGCTCGAGCAGCTCAGAGACCCCGGAGAGCAGCCGCGTAGTCCACCGCCCGCACCCCTCGGGGCACGCGGCGCCGCGGTCGGCCCTTAAAGGCGACCCCCGCCCCGCCGGCTGGGGGCGTGGCCGGCAGCGAGACATGCCTAAGTAGCCCGCTGATTGGACGGCGAAGAGCGGAGGCGGGGCTCAGAGACCTGGAATGGTGGGGCGCCCCCATCCTGTGTTCTTGCAGCGGCTTATTGACCCAGGTGTCGGCCAACGCGGGCAGGTGTCTGTGTCCGTGTCTGCGCGCGCGTATGCTCGGGCCTCTTCCTACCAGTGAGGGTCACCGCCTCAAAGTATAAGCACCAAGCGCGCGTCTCTAGGTAGTCAGGAGAAAAGTAAGGAATCTTTAGCCTGACACAGTGTCACAAACTAACATTGTCCGTTTTCTTTGTGTTTTAGCATTTACCACTTTTACTCGTTAGTAAGTTCCATTATGCCACTTGCCTAAAAACAAAAAAAAAAAGTCGGAAGACTCTGACCATACTTCATCTCAGTTCCGCTAACTCCTGTGCATTTTCCAAGGAATATTTGGCACACTGAAACCAAAGTCTTCAACCTACAGACATTTTTGACAACTAAAAAACTACTTTTAAACTACAGCACAGTTGCTTTCTTAATAAGCAAAACCTAGAACCTGTATTAGATTCTTCTGTTCGCCTGCAGCATGGAATTTCAAGTCTATAAAAGAAAGGAAGAGTTGCTACATCATATTGAGCAGACTTCTTAATCTCAAACTTAACCCTGACTCTAGTTCAATCAAGTTCTAAACATACTACTTATGTGGAACACTGGTGGTCCAGTGGCAAGAAGCGGCACTGCAATCCCGAAGGCACATGATTCGAGGCCACCAGCTGCTCCAGGGGAGAAGGCTGGGCAATCTCCTCCCAGGCAATTAATTAACTGCATCTGAAAACAACTATGGGTCGTTCTGACTCCACGGTAAACAACAACCACCACCATTCTGATGGAGACTGCAAGGGTGTACACGAGTGCTATCGCTCTTGATGGTACCTCTAAACAGTCTTAAATCATAAATCAGTAGGGGAAACAGTTCTGGGGCAGAACAGGAGTCCTGGTGATAAATCTGATGTGTGCATAATAAGAGATACACTAGAAAAGAGCTTTTGTAGAAGGCAGCCTTTGAGTTGACCTATGACTCTTGCCCTTCTTGAACAAAGATAGGGGGACAGACATTCCTTCCAGACAGTGAAAGTAGTGGAAGAAGCTAAGAAAAACAGGGTGCACTTGAGGAACATGGTTCAAGGATAGCATGCCTCCAGGATGAGGTTAGAACAGTAAAACAAAGAATTATTCACACAAGTGCATAAAGATGATTTTTTTTCAGGTGTGTGCCAGAATTATTGAAAACGGGGAAACATTGGAAGCCAAAAAAGTGCATTAGTGCAACCTCTGAAAGTTATGATGCTAGCCCATATTAATTGACTTTAAAAGTTGCCCACACATACTTACCTGGCAGGGGAGATATGATGATCACTAAGATGATTTTCCCAGGGCAAGGCTTATCCATTGCACTCCGGATGTGCTGACCGCTGCAATTTCCACAAATGTGGGAACTTAACTACAATAATTTGTGGTAATGGGGGAAGGTGTTTGTGCTTTCCCCTGAAAATAGAAAATAAATTAAAATGGCCCACAGCATATTTTTTAAGAAAAGAAAGAACTCTAATAAGAGTATGCATGATTTGTTGTTGTTGTTGTTGTTATGTGCCATCGAGTCACTTGCGACTCATAACGACCAAGAGCTCTAAATGCTGTTCTATCTTGTGCCAACCTAGCCATCTCAAATGCACTTATTCCCACCGCTCCAGTCACAGAATCGATCCATCTCATCAAAGGACTTCCTCTCCTTCGCCGCCCCTCCACTCTGCCAAACATGATGTCCCTCTCCAAGGACCAGTCCCTCCTTGCAACATGCCCAAAATATGTCAGACGAAGCTTCAGAATCCTTGACTCCAGGGAACACTCTGGCTTCACCCTCTCCAGGACAAACCTGTTTGTTCTCCTAGCAGTGCATGCTATATTCAACACTCGTCTCCAGCACCACAGCTCAAAGGCATCAATCCTCTTTCTATCAACCCTACTCTCTGATGCACAGCACATAATTGCAAAGACTATAGCCCGGATCAGGCGCATCTTAGTCTCCAGCCTGACATCGTTGCTCTTCAGTACTCTTGAGAGGTCCCTCACAGCCGACTTTCCCAATGCAATTAGTCTCCTGATTTCTGGCTGCTGTTACCAAGAGTCTTGACTGTGGAGCCAAGTAAATTAAAACTGTTAACTATCTCAATCTCTTCACCATCCATGCTGATGCTGCCAATTGGCCCAGTGGTTAGAATCTTTGTTTTCTTGACGTTGAGCTTCAGTCCATATAGGAGGCTGTAGTCCTTGATCTTCTGCAGCAAGCGCTTTAGGTCCTCCTCAGTTTCAGCAAGCAGGGTTGTGTCATCTGCATAACGCAGGTTGTTGATGATTCTTCTACCAATCCTGATGCCACATTCCTCTTTGTATAGCCCAGCATCTCGGATGATCTGTTCTGCATACAGACTGAAAAGGTATGGAGACAGAATACATCCCTGACAAACCCCCTTCTTGATTTTGAACCATGTAGTGTCTCCTTGCTCTGTTGTGACAACTGCCTCTTGGTCCAAGTATAAGTTTCGCATTAGCACAATCAACTGTTCTGGGATTCCCATTCTTCTCAGAGTCAGCTACAGCTTGTTGTGATCCACACAGTCAAAAAGCCTTTGCATAGTCAATGAAGCACAGATAGACATTCTTCCTTTGCTTTCTGATAAGATCCATCTGACATTAGCTAAAATATCCTAGTACCACGACCTCTTCTAAATCCAACCTGCACATCTGGCAGTTCTCTGTGTTCCAAACGTTTTTGGATAATTTTCAGCAGAATCTTGCTTGCATGTGATATCAATGATATTGTTCAGTAATTTCCACAATCTGTTGGGTCACCTTTCTTTGGAATGGGAACAAATATTGATCTTTTCCAGTCAGTGGGCCAGCTGGCTGTTCTCCAGATTTCTTGGCACTACTTAGTAAGCACATCCAGGCCAGTGTCTGTTTGTTGAAATATGTCAATTGGTACGCTGTCAACTCCTGGAGCCTTGTTTTTTGCCAATTCCCTCAGAGCAATTTGAACTTCTTCTTTCATCACCATAGGCTCTTGCTCATATGTCATTTCATTAAATTCCTTTGTGTCAGCCAATTCCTTCTGATACAGTGACTCTGTGTATTCCTTCCATCTTCTCTTGATACTTTCTGGATCATTTAACATACTGCCCAAAGTATCCTTAAGTATTGCCACCCATGGTTTGAATTTGTTTTTCAGCTCCTTCAGCTTAAGAGTTCATCCCTTTTGATTTTCTGTCTCCAGCTCTCTGCACATTTCATTATAGTATCTTGCTTTATCATCCCGCATGAGTTAGAATTCAAAATATAAAGAAAGCACCCCTGAGTTCACTGTTCACAATGATGGAAATAAATCATTGAATGAAGAAACCATCCACATAGAATAGACAAATCTCTCTTGTAAAAAGAACTTGAAAAAAAAATATATATATTTATTTATTTATTCACCACTCCATAAAAAGTGAAGTGCGGCTCCCCACTCTGTGACTTCCTTCCAAATAATACAGGAAACAATCAAAACAAATGCTCCACTGCAGTTCAGTTGGTTCTGACTTGAAAGTCAGTTCTGCCCTAAAGGATAGAGTAAAACTGCCCTTAGTGTTTCCATGACTATAAATCTGGAGGAGACTGCCTCATCTTTCTCCTGTAGAGTGTTTAATGTTTTGGTTAGAGGCCAAATGCTTAATCCATTGTGCAATCAAGGCTCCTTAAATTATGGCAGAAAGAAAAAAAATAATAGCTTTAGAGTGCAGAAAGCTGACAATATTGTTCTCAAACATCACAATTCAAAAGCATCATCATTCTTCAGTCATCATTATTGATTGTCCAACTTTCCAGATGCATAACATCTGAAAAGATCATGGCTTGAAAGGCACACCATAGTCTTTAAACTAACACCATTGCTCTTGACAGCAAATTTCTCCAATGCAACACATCATTTGATTTCTTGACTGCTACTACCATGAGTGCTAATTTTGGATCCAAGTAAAACAGATGACAACTTCAATCTTCTCTCTAGAAGGGGTCATGGTACTACGGATATTGTAGCTAATGTTAGATGGATCTTAGCTGAAAGCAATAAGTACCAGAGGAATGTATATCTGTGTTTCATTGACTATGCAAAGGCATTTGACTGTGTGGATCATAACAAACTGTGGCTGACTCTGAGAAGAATGGGAATTCCAGAACACT